CATAAATTGTACTCCCTCCGTCCCAAAATTCTTGTCTTAGATTTGTCTAGATACGGATCGTATGTGCCAAAATTATCTTACAGAAAATTTACATCAATAACATTATGTTCCACTCCTCATATGTGAACAAAAGCATAAGATGGTTAGCTCCTCTAAACTCACAGGAAATTTTACATGAAATATGTCACGAATTAGAGAATCCACACTATCCATGACAAGATTGTACTGGTAAATTTGATGTGGTCAGACCCAAGCAAAGTCTTTTCTTCAGCAGAATCAACACCAAAGCTTATCGCAAAACCTGGATGTGTTTCTCACCACTATCTTTTTCTTTCTCTCTGAGTGTCATCTTTCATCCAAAGGTTGTTAGTATGAGCATTAGGATCTTATAAGCAGAAGTGCTACTTAGAACTGTTAGGTCCCTCCTGAGGGTAGGCGACCGAACGCTTGCAGATCCTGCAGAGTACTTGACAGCCAGTCCAAGCCCTCATACTTGGATGTGCCAGACGCGGTTCTTCAAATCATAGAGGCCAAGGCCTTCGCACACCTCCATTGGTGTCATCGCCCCTTTCTGAATGAACAAGAAAGCTATGTTAGGCAGGAGCAGCAACGATGGTTCTCGCATACTATCACAACCCATAGGTAAAAGGAGTGGAGAACGAGTACAAAAGAGCAAATCTATATTTTTACGCCTATTCATTCACCTACAGTCCATAACACCAACAAGCAGAGACTTCTCATGTCTGCGTTAAAATAGTGGCCAAGTTCTGTTAACTTACCACTGTATTCAAGCGTGTGCACATTTAAAATAGTGGTCAAGTTTTGTTATCTTACCATATCTTGTTTATTGGCAAATACCAATATGACACTGTTAAGCATGAAAGGATCGTTGATTATTGTCTGCAACAAAGATGCCAAATATTAGCTTCATCACAAAGAAAACATAAGACAGCAATGAGCAGTTATGACACTTTACAAACCTGAAACTCTGCTTTGGCTTTTCCAATTCTCTCCCTATCCAATGAATCAACCACGTAGATCTGCAATGGTGAGGATGTTATTATAATTTATATATCATAGTTGAATATGTTCATGAACAGATCGAGAGTCCAACTTTACACACAGATAATTCAAGAGAAAGACATCAAACGTTAGTCCAGCTCAACTGAGTGGGGTGGATGTACAATCCCACTACCTTGGTTCAAATCCTCACAGACGCTAATTTACATTACTATTCATACGGACGAGTTTTCCCCTACAATTGTCTTCCAAAAACAGAAGAAAACATAAACGAAGACTAAGGTTTTGACTGAAGGGCATGATCTAGCTGTCCTAATGACTAATAAGGTTTTACTGACAAACATCAGCTGTCCAGAGTAAGATTAACCATATTCACATTGTAGACAATTAAAACTTACTCCCTCCGTCCGGAAATACTTGTCGGAGAAATGGATGTACCTAGATGTTTTTTAGTTCTAGATACATCCATTTTTATCCATTTTGACGACAAGTAATTCCGGACGGAGGGAGTACTACTTAACAACTTTGCACAGTTCCACCAGGGTTAAAAAACACAGAATAATCCAAGTATAGTTCTAAATTTGAAAAGATAGGCTTTGTACAGTACGTGATAAATACTAGCAACACTTTAAGGGTTAGTACCAGATTATCAGAAAAGTTGCTACTAATAATTTACTTTCATGTATTTCTTTCAAAAGTGAGAACATCTTCTGGCAATCTTTGTCCATAAGAATAGTAGTGATAACTGTAACTTAAGAAGTCGAATCAAGATAATTGAGCTGCTCACGAGTGGTCCCTTCATGTTTCTACTTCCTCCGTTCACAAATATAAGATGTTCTGATTTTTTTGTGAATCGAATGTATGTAGACACGTTTTAGTGTGTTTGTTCACTCATTTCAGTCCGTATGCAGTTCATATTGAAATATCCAAAACATCTTATATTTGTGAATGGAGGGAGTACTAGTCAGCAAGTTCACCTACGAGCTCAGAAGCAGGATATGAATAACTGAAAGCTTTCTCCAGTTCCAACAAGATGTAGGAAATTGAACTATGCGCTGAAGAACTAAATGTGTTCATAGGCACCTTGATTTTTGCCATCTTATGTTCCATTATCACCACTGGGTTTGGGTCCCTGATGTGTGGGACCAAAAAGTGCAAAATAGCAATAAAATAAAATAAATAGATGGACCACAAGAAATGCAACGCCAAAATCAAGATTTCAACATAGAAATTACTGACAAGATAGCCTGGGCTAGCTTTCCAGAGAAATGGACAGTTTGAATGGAAATAATGAGACAGAACATAAATTGGATTTCCATAACCAGCTAAGAACCAAACTACAGTAACAAATTTCATTTGGAAGGTCAACCATAAATACCTCAGCAGAAAGATAAAAGGCGGATATACATCTGTCCAGTTTGTATAACTAGAGTAATTGGAACATACCAAGCCATCTGTGTTATTAAAGTAATGTCTCCACAAGGGCCTCAACTTCTCCTGGCCACCAACATCCCACACTGTAAACAGCACGTTCTTGTACTGAACTTTCTCAACATTGAACCCTAGTAGTAAGAGCAGAAAAGCAACATCAACACTTGGTACTTGGTAGTACCTTTTTTCAACTAAATCACATAAAAGATTTAAGAACACTGTCTGTTAAGGCCAATCTGATTAGCAGGTTAACTTGTTGGCTCTTGTATGATGATTACTGCCTAAATTGCAAGGATGCTCAGCTAATCAGAAAAAAATCAGGCATACATATTATATCAGACTGTTCAGCAAACCACATTTACATAAGCAAAAGTTTCCAACCCCCATTCCGTATTTATTCCTCTAGTACCAACAGCGAAAACCCACTTGCCTCCCCTCATTAACAGTTTATTTAACACATCAGTAAGGCCTTGATATAACTTCAGTTTAGCATCAGCGAGCCAACAGACAATTTCAGCTGATAGCAAAAAAAACAAAACAAAAACTGAATAACCTACCAATCGTAGGGACAGTCGAGAGGACCTCCCCGATGTGCAGCTTGTACAGGATGGTGGTCTTGCCCGCGGCATCCAGCCCAAGCATCACGACCTGAAAATCGAGCACCACCAAACGAAAGCAATTAAATGCCCCGAAGAAAAAGAACCAACATGACACAACACGGGCACTTCTTACTTCTTAGAGGAGCATCAAAAGAATCTAATAGGGAAGATCGCCTTACCCTCATCTCGCTGTTGCCGAAGAAGGCATCGAACAGTTTGCGGAACGCCTGCCCCATCCGCCGGCGAGGATCGGCCGATCGCTGGGAATCCGCCGGACGAACACCAAAATCCCCGTCGAACCTCTCGAGTCCGCCTTCCTTCCTCTTCGCCTTCTCCCTCAAGTCGTCGTCGCCGTCGGACTCGTGTGACGGAATACAAGGAGTGGAGAAGGAAGAACCCTTCTTCTGAAAGCAGCGTTTGTTTGTTCGTTGCAACGCCCGGCCTGGCCTGGAAGAATCGGGTCTCGGGGGTCGGGTGGGGAATATGCAGCACGGAGACAGCATCCGAGCCGTCCGTGCGGGCGCCAACGTGTTGGATCGGGAGATGGCATCGCGTAGCTAGCACGCGGCTTCGGGGTCACCTGCGACTCTGTCCCGGGCTGGCTGGCTAGCACGCGGCTACGGCGCACGCGGTTTTCTGATCTTTGTTTCGTACCGGGCTGCAAGAGATCGGAGGTGAGATAGCCTGTCATGGCCCGTTGCTCTTCGGACCTTATTTGAGAAGCCCGAGGAGGTGCCAGCACTTTTTTTTGGGCCTAAAAAAACATTTTTTACCTAAAAGAAAAAACCTAAAAGAAAAAACAGTCCCATGATCATTATTTTAGAATGAAGACTCAATAGGAACCCGGCTTTAGATTATGAAGTCATCGACTGGTCTGGAATTACATGATACACGGATGCTCGGAATCAGCTTAACACAACGCAGAAGACAAGCACCCAAAAAAACCGAAAGATTAAGCGCAACTTGAAGATGTGTCACCCTTCACACCCGAACATCGGAGAAGGAGAACAAAAGCAACATCAAAGGAGCAACCGGTCGCTTGAGTGGTAAAATGGAAACTTATGTGCAAGCCTAAAATCCTAGGGGTGTTGGGCATCATTAATACTCCGGTTATGAATAAATGTTTAATCATCAAATGGTGGTGGAGAATCTTTCATGCTCCTTTTGGGACCTTATGGTTGGACATTCTTAAAGCAAAATACTTCCCGAATTGTAGCCCTATGTTTGCTCCGGCCACTGGTGGCGCTCAGGTTTGGCGTGATCTTCTTAAAGTTAAAGATGATTTCTGAGCTCATGTCAGGTTTGTGGTGGGCAATGGGGAGAACATGCGTTTTTGACCTGACTGGTGGTGTGGTGATTCTCCTTTATGTTCTCCTTTTCTGGTATTGTTCTCTTACTGTTCGTCTTCTGAGATTTCCATCTTGGACCTCTCTCGTAATAACTAGGATATGGGTCTTTGTCGTGTGCTTTCTCGAGTTAGTGGACTGGCAACCTCTTGCTAAGCTCTTCCCTTTGCTCTCGGAGACTAAGGACACGGTCATTGGCCACATTCCTCTTTGGGAGGTTTTCGGTTATATCTTTGTATTCCATGTTGACTATGGGCTCCCCCACTAGTAAATTCAAAGATATTTGGCGTGCCAAGATCCGTCTCAAGATAAAAAATTTATGTGGCAAGCGATCCGGTGGAAAGCTGCCCGTGGCTGATCAGATTTGTAAAAGTAACGAGATGGTTATGAATTTTGTGCTCTTTGTGATGCTAGGGAAGATATCAATCACATTCTTTCTAACTGACATGTGGCCAAACTTATGTGGGGACACATCCGGTTGCCGATAGATATTATCTGGTCCCCGTCCTCTTTGGGGGATCTCCATGCAATCTCTTCTCAACTTTCATGCTAGAAGCGTCGATTGTTTTGGGTTGGGTTTGTTGCTATGTGTTGGGTCTTGTGGACCACTAGAAACAAGTTTACTATTGATCATGTCTTCCCTAATATACCTGTTGACTATTTGTTTAAATTGTTATTGTTTCTCCATGAGTGGAAATTATTGACTAAGGAAGCTGATCATGAGGATACGAAAGCGCTGATCTCCCATGTTCGATCAATGGCATCTACTGTTCTTCAGCAAGATCATGCTGCTTCCTCCTGATGGATGTGGATTTATGTTTTATCTCCTTCCTGGTGTTGTAGGCTTTTGGTCATAGGCAGTTGGCCTGTGTGCCCGTCTTAAACTATTATATGCTCTTATTGCCCCATTGTGGCTGGTCTATACGATACTTAATTTTGCTTTGTTGGTTTTAAAACTTTGCCTGGTGACTTTATCTATAAAGTCGGGCGCATGTCTCTTCTCTGAAAAAAGAGTGATAGCGCTGATACGTCCATTTTGCATCATGTTTTCTACTGTTGTTTATAATGTTTTTATGCATAATAATGCTTTTGAGAGTAATTCTAATGCCTTTTCTCTCATAGTATGCAAGGTTTGCACAAAGAGGGAGAATACCGGCAGCCGGAATTCTGGGCCTGGAAAAGCTACGTCAAAGTTACCTATTCTGCACATCTCCAAATAAGCTGAAACTTTATGGAGAATTTTTATGGATTATTTAAGAAATATTGGAGCAAATAACTACCAGAGGGGGTCCACCAGGTGGGCACAACCCACCTGGGCGCGCCAGGGAGCCCAGGCGCGCCCTGGTGGGTTGTGCCCTCCTCGGCCCACCTCCGGTGCCCCTCTTCTGGTATATAAGTCATTTTGACCTAGAAAAATTAAGGGGAGGACTTTCGAGATGAAGTGTCCCCGTCTCGAGGAGGAACTTGGGCAGGAGCACTTTTGCCCTCCGGTGGAGCGATTTCGCCAGGGGAACTTCCCTCTCGGAGGGGGAAATCATCGTCATCATCATCACCAACAACTCTCCCATTTTTGGGAGGGCCATCTCCATCAAAATCTTCAACAACACCATCTCCTCTCAAACCCTAGTTCATCTCTTATGTTCAATCTTTGTAACGGAACCTTAGTTGGTGCTTGTGGGTGACTAGTAGTGTTGATTACATCTTGTAGTTGATTACTATATGGTTTATTTGGTGGAAGATTATATGTTCAGATCCATTATGCTATTTAATACCCCTCTGATCTTGAGCACGATTATTATATGTGAGTAGTTACTTTTGTTCTTGAGGTCACGGGAGAAGTCATATTGCAAGTAATCATGTGAACTTGATATGTGTTCGATATTTTGATGATATGTATGTTGTAATTCCTTTAGTGGTGTCATGTGAATGTCGACTACATGACACTTCACCATATTTGGGCCTAAGGGAATGCATTGTGGAGTAGTTATTAGATGATGGGTTGCTAGAGTGACAGAAGTTTAAACCCTAGTTTATGTGCTACTTCATAAGGGACCAATTTCGATCCAAAAGTTTAATGCTATGGTTAGATTTTATCTTAATACTTTTCTCGTAGTTGCGGATGCTTGCGAGGGGGTTAACCATAAGTAGGAGGTTTGTTCAAGTAAGAACAACACCTAAGCACCGATCCACCTACATATCAAATTATCAAAGTAGCGAACACGAATCAAACCAACATGATGAAAGGGATATGATGAAATTCCCGGGTACCCTCAAGAACGCTTTGCTTATCATAAGAGACCGTTTTGGCCTCAAAAGTATTGGGCCACCTTGCTGCATTTTTTTACCATTAGCGTTACTTGCTTGTTACAAATTATCTTGCCATCAAACAATGTGTTACCTACAATTTCAGTGCTTGCAGACATTACCTTGCTGAAAACCACTTGTCATTTCCTTTTGCTCCTCATTGGGTTTGACACTCTTATTGAAAGGACTATGATTGATCCCCTATACTTGTGGGTTATCAAGGCTCTTTTCTGGCGCCGTTGCCAGGGAGTGAAGCGCTCTTGGTAAGTGGAAATCGGTAAGAAAATTATTATTACATGCTGAAATTCATTGTCACTTGCTACTATGGAGAACCATTCTTTGAGGGGTTTGTTCGGGGTATCTTCACCTTGACTGGAACCACAATTAGTTGTCCCTCAACCTACTGCACCTACTGAAAATATTGTCTATGAAATTCCTTCGGGTATGATAGAACAACTACTAGCTAATCCTTATGCAGGAGATGGAACTAAACATCCTGATATGCACTTGATATATGTGGATTATCTAAACTTGTAGGTTTTCTCGGAGATGAAGCTAAGAAGAGGGTTTTCCCTTTATCTTTGAAGGAAAAAAGCATTGGCATGTGAAAGGATCGAGAAGAGGTGTCTAGAGGGGGGTGAATAGACTATAAGTAAGAAAAGTTGCAGTTTTTAATTTCTTTAAGTTCAAGTGGAGTTTGGCACAAGTTTTAACATTCACAATACATATCAAGCAAGCATTACAAGAGTATATGAGCAGCGGAAAGTAAAGCATGCAAATTGCAAGAATGTAAAGGGATGGGTTGGAGTGTGCAAACGCAATTTGGAGACACGGAGATTTTTTATCCGTGGTTCCGATAGGTGGTGCTATCGTACATCCACGTTGATGGAGACTTCAACCCACGAAGGGTAAAGGTTGCGTGAGTCCACGGAGGGCTCCACCCACGAAGGTCCACGAAGAAGAAACCTTGTCTATCCCACCATGACCATCGCCCACGAAGGACTTGCCTCACTAGGGTAGATCTTCACGAAGTAGGCGATCTCCTTGCCCTTACACACTCCTTGGTTCAACTCCACAATCTTGACGGAGGCTCCCAAGTGATACCTAGCCAATCTAGGAGACACCACTCTCCAAGAAGTAACAAATGGTGTGTTGATGATGAACTCCTTGCTCTTGTGCTTCAAATGATAGTCTCCCCAACACTCAACTCTCTCTCACAGGATTTGGATTTGGTGGAAAAAAGATTTGAGTGGAAAGCAACTTAGGGAAGGCTAGAGATCAAGATTTATGTGGTAGGAATGGAATATCTTGACCTCAGCACAAGTGTAGGTGGTTCTCTCTCAGAAAATGTATGTTGGAAGTGTAGGCATGTTCTGATGGCTCTCTCCACTAATGAAGAGTGGGTGGAGGGGTATATATAGCCTCCACACAAAATCTAATAGTTACACACAATTTACCAAACTCGGTGGGACTGAATCGTGAAACTTGGTCAGACTGATTTAGTTCATAATGTGACCGTTAGGAATTTCGGTGGGACCGACATGTCAACTCGGTAGGACTGATGTGCTAGGGTTAGGGTAATGCCTCAACTCGGTTTGACCGATTACACAAACTCGGTGAGACCGATTTTGGTAATAGACAAACAGAGAGTTTGTCAGGCAAGCTCGGTGGGACCGATTCTCTCATCTTGGTTGGACCGAAATGTTACGAAAGGGAAACAGAGAGTTTGCATTGCAATATCGGTGGGACCGATCGCTTATCTCGGTTTGACCAAAACGTTACGAAGGGAAACAGAGAGATTACAATCCCATCTCGGTGAGACTGAGATCCCTATCAGTGAGACCGAAAAGACT